GGCTACTCAAGTAGACCTCTTGGTTACGGGAATCGAGGGTTGACTTACTCTCTCACTCAACCCAATGGTTGGACGGCTTAATCTCACTTAACCTCGTTGTTTAATTCAAGATATAGGGTTGTCGTGCATTAACCTAGGTAGGTGGCTTGAAAAGGCCAAGGAATCCCAACTCAATTGAGTTTCCTTTGAAAGGGGGGTTTTCCCTATAACCTAGGTTAGAATGGTCAATTGGATTGCCAAACATAAACATGCACAACCATCATGAAAAATAACTCATTCATTAAATTAAACAAAACCCATAAACAATCATTCAATCCACATAACAACTACATGACAAATAATTAGGGTTTCACAACACCCAAGTGAAAAAGGAAAGTACTCCATGCTAGAAAGGGGAAAAACACAAGGGAAAGAGGTAGAACCATCAATGGTGATGCCTCCAATCTCCTTTAAGCTTGTGTTGATCTTCTCTTGGGGAGATTCTTCCCAATTCACCACTTGGAGCAAACCCTAGCCTTCTTTCTTCTTTGGTTCATTGTTTCTCTCTCTAAAATCTGAAGAAGAAGACACTTTCTCACACTTTGGCTCCCTCTTCTCTCTTCCTTTCAGCTCACATTTTATACATGAATCGGGCTTAGTTTACAGCTCCAGTTCACGGTCTTAGTGACCGTGAACTCACTTTGCGTCAGTAACCTCTGAAAATGCCATGGACGCCTCGCAGTTCATGGTTTTTGATTCTAGTTCACGGTCTTCGCAGACCGTGAACTCCCAAGGGAAACCGCGAGCTGGCCTTTTTCACATCTTTTCCCTGTTTTCGCTCCTTTTTTCCAACTTTCAACTCATGGGGCTGTTTTCACCTGTTAGATCCTGAAACACGCTAAAACACCAGAAACCTAGCTTAAAACCACCCTTTTAGGAGCAGAAATGCCACAAACGCCCAAATAAAAGAGGGATAAAATGCTTACAATTAGGCTCGAATCATCTGCCAGAGTCATTCGACATGGTAACTACTTTGCTGCCATGGTTCTCCACCATATGTTCTCCTATAACATTCTTTCAAAGGGTGAACATTGGGAAGCAGTCACCTACTTTGACATGGAGCTCCTCACCAACCTACTTTCACATGAGAAGGTTAACTTGCCTTACATGATCTTTCAACACATGCTTGCTGTTTCAGAAAGTTCAACCAGGAATCTTCCTTATGGGATGATCCTCACTTTGCTATTTGAGCATTTTGGTGTTGATTTGAGTGGTGGGGTTGGCTTAAGAGTCACAAGGCAAGAGTTTCATACAGTTACATTCCTGGAGAAGATGGGATTTGAGCTGCATGATGGTGAGTATGTTCGAGCATACAATCCTCATGTATGGTGGTTATGATGATGATGATGATGATGATGATGAGCCCGGAGACGAGCCAATGACGCAATCACGAAGTTCAACTCCACCAGTCACCCTAGAGCGTATATGGGAGCGCATGGACGTCGTGCTTTGCTACTGCTCAGTCTGTATCTCGTGCTATGCGCTGCGGGATTTGGCTCGCCGATGCTATTCTATGCTCTGCGGGATTCAAAAGATGCTCGCCGATGTTGTGCTATGTGGGAATGGGAAGAAACTTGTCGGTGCCGTGCTCCACAACTCCACTCTGGTCTCCACTAGACGACAGAAGGCAGCAACAATCAAACATTAAGCAACCAGAAGGAAGACTCCCCGACAACAGTAAGAATTTGCCGGATTGGGTCTTGGTATTGGGATGGAGTTGGGCAAGAGCAAAAGGTGGGCTGGGCTGCTGAAAGTTGGGTTTGAACAGGCCTGCAGATAATTATGCAGTTTGGTTGTTATTCGGCGTGGTTAACGGTTAGTCTACAAACCGCAAATAGGCCAATTGTACTAATCATGACCACTTGAGCCCCCTTTAAATGTTTCTGGTTAACCGCAAACCTCGCTTATTCGATGTGATTTCGGTTTAACTGCAAAACTGTAACCTTTTTCCACCCATACCGAATTCCCACCTTTAGTGAATGGTTATGTAAAATAGACCCTCACATAGGAATTGCGAGTCATTTTAGGAACAGTTTTGAGTCCGTACTAAAACAAACGACATGACAAGTTTGAGTCGCCAATCACCATATGTACTTCTTAATTAATTCTCATATATTTATATTTTTCGTTTAACAATTATTACGGGGATGGGATACAGTGTATATATTTTTTCCCCTTAATTACCATCTTCAATCCACGACTCTTATGGCATTCTTCTCTTTTCCTTAGAGTTTTCTGCCCACCGCTGCAATCTTCTCTTCGACGTCTCAATTCAAAATTTCACAGAAGGCATTGGGGCAATGCAATGGGCCTCAGGCTCGCTGCTTCTCTACTCAAGATCTTCTACGCACGACGAGGAAGTTAGAGTTCATTTAGGCCTTCAACTGGCTTCTGGCGGAGAGGAAGTGGTAGAGCGATTGTACAAAACACAATGCTCTCTTCTTGAATCGCAAGTCGCAATCAGTTAATTGTAGAAGAAGCCGCGTTTCTCGATTCTTGTTATCGATTGGAATTTCTCCCACCAGATCGATCAATTGTACTTTGCGTTAACGCCCTGATTTTTCACCGTGTAAGTCATTTGGTTCCTAGATCTGCTTCATAATTAGTTTAACCATTTCTCTTCTTGATTACTTAGGCAACTGCTCCTTTTATTTTTGGGTTTTGTTTTTGTTTTAGTGACTAATGATCTCATGATTAAGATGAATGATTTTCTTTTGTCTTGCTACCATTACAGGTGCAATTAACGGATCCAAACCTGGGTGATAAGAATCCTTGAATGAATTTTGGAATTTTAATGAACTCTTGTTTATTTCATGACATTTAAGGAACAATTTATCATCCCCACAAGTAATACAAGTTACAATTAGTCGTCTCCATAGACACATGCTAAGGGCAACAAATCGTTCATACAAGTTACATATGGAACAATTAGTCATTTCCATAAGCTGCATAACTAATAACTCCTCGTCCCACAATACATATTCGTCCATAAAAGTCATAGGTGACAACTAGACGTCTCTAAAGATATATATAGTATATGAGACAACTCGTAGTCCTTTAATAAATTTTATGGGAACGATTTTTAGACTTCAATTTGATACCAATAGGAACGACATTTCGACCTTATAAAAAGGAAGGAGGACGATATATTATCCCCAGATATGTCCAACACAATCATGAAATCAGATTATGTGGGACAACTGTTTGTCCCTGGAAATAACGTTTAGGGGACGACTTATTGTCTCTAATGTTATACCTATAGGGAGACATGTTGTCTTTCATGAAAAGGAATCGAGAAGACAACTTGTGAGTAATGGGGACGACTGTCGTCCCTAGTAATGCGGACAACCTAGAATTTTGTCGTCCCCGAAAGAATCGGGGACAAGAGCAAAGGGAACGACTCATAAGGGACGACTTAGGCGTCCCCAAAAACTATTGGGACGATTTTTCTTATTTTCGGGGACGATTTTTGTCGTCCCCAAACCTCCTCTTTTTGTAGTGCTAATTAACCTTGAGTATGTGACCTACACAAAGGCAATTGTCATTCTTCTATTTCTCCATTTTATAAGGCATTCTCCTTCTTCCTCATCTTCGAATCATCCCTCTTCCAAGTTACCTTCTTGATATGGAATACACCATGAGACTAGTACGAAAAAACCCATCTTCTACTATCATCGATGAAAAACTCATCATCGGACATTCTCATAATTCCATCGGAACCGGTTTCTTAAAAAGAGAGGTTCGAGCCATCGTAGCGGAACTTATTCTTTACGATTGTTGGGACTTTTGTGACAAGGGTACATGTACGATAGCTCGAAACCGGGTGACTAGGATTATGATAGAGTCGTGAACAACTTCACTTTCGGCATAACTGATAACTCCTCGTCCGACAGTACATATTCGTCCCTAAAAGTCACAGGTGACAACTTGACATCTCTAAAAATATATATAGTATATGAGACAACTCGTAGTCCTTCAATAAATTTTTTGGGGACGATTTTTAGACTCCAATTTGATACCAATAGGAACGACATGTCGACCCTATAAAAAGGAACGAGGACGATAAATTATCCCCATATATGTCCAACACGATCATGACCTTTCATGAGCAAGCAAAAGCAAAAGAGAGGAGCTGGCTGCCGAAACACTCTGAATTTTGATTTCTCAAACCTAACCCATTTCAACCCATGCAACGTTTTATATTGCAAAGAAAGGGACGTGGCTCTTTAATTAGCAAGCCATGTGTCCAATTTTGTAATGGAATGTGGCCTTTTCTTAAGCCAAGCAACGTTCATTTTGTTGAGGAACAAATGCAACGCTTGGACTGTGGAGAATCGGATAATATCAAATGAAACGTTGCACAGTTTCATAAGTGGAACGGTTGCTTATGAATGGTCATAGCGCTTGGCAAGGAATAACGCAGATGTACGTTTCTTTGTGTCAATACGACCTCTGATAGTGGAGAAGATAAGTATATTGTTGTGCACAAACATATGATGGTAGAAGTCATTCATACCGATCGATGGAGAAGTTTATAGTTTTTACGTGGATAACCCATCAACTTCATCCCCAATGCGTTTGCTTGTCGTGTATGGGGTTCAAAGACGGCAATCCTTTCCTTTCCTTGGAGCCCAATGATAATACATTAATTCACCAATTTTTGTATTTACTTGCATTATTTCCATCTCGGAATAGCAGTACTTCCCTGCCGTGTTGGGGCTACATTTTTGGTTTGTGTCGTTTTTTCTTGCATTATTTCCATCTCAGAGCCGGCATGCATGCATGTGTCATATTGTCATTTAATTTGTCCCTTCCGTGTTCTGATGCCGCCGGTAGGTTATAAAAAGCCGTTGCAAGTTACAATCGTTTCTCACCCTAATATATTCCCTACGCAGACAGACAGAGTTAGTGGCCGGCCACATCAAAAAGCAGGAAACATGTTTCATGGTAGGGAACTGGCGATGGCCGCGATTCTGATCCTGCTGGGTACCGTGATGAGCCTCGTCGTCGTCGAAGCCAAACTTCCCAACACGACTGCGGTCAGCAGGCCCGAGTGCGTTGGGAAGTCGGCGGACAAAAGATATGACAGCAACGTCGGACATCTCATGGACTTCTTCGTGGACGAAACTAAGAACATGTTCAGAAAAACCAACATCGACGACTACGTCATGTATCACAGCTACCCTAACCGGGACAGCGCCGGCTCTGTCACTGGTGTCGCCACTTGCACCAACCCTCACCAATGATGCACCTTCTATGGATAGCAAGGGTTTTTAGTAACCCACGCTGAAAGTACCATCCAAGGGTTGTAGCATAGGTTAAAACCCCTCTTAAATGACAGTTTAACATCCACCATGTATATGTTTGTACTAAGGGTTCAAACCTTTGCTACTTAACAATATAGTTCCAATAGAATTTTACTTACTGCCACTACAAGAAAACGTGCGTGGCTATTGAAGCAAATAATTAGAGACAATTATAGTAATAGTCTCGATAGCTAGATTATGGCAACAAATATATTATTTGTCTCTCTATGTCATATTATTTGCCTCTATTAAATAATAGTTTTTTATAATTTATAATAAATAAATTCAAATAAAAAGCTTTAGAGACAAATATAATATTTGCTACGGTATAGTATGTTACTCGAACTATAAATGATATATAGAGGGAAATCTAATTGATTGTAAAGTTATTTCGTTTTTAAATAAAATAATTTAATAAATTTAGTATTAGATATTACGGTTGCTTTGTTTTCCTTGTTCCACAAGTAGCCGTGTTTGTCCTGTACTATGAATAATTGTCCAACTAGTACTAGTACTGCGTCTCGTGTCAAGGCTTGTCTAGCCTCATGGTCATGTTCTATAAATAGCTTAGCCGAGTCCTTTGTCAAGGCAAGCTAGAAACAATCAGTCATCAATAAAAAGCAGTAGTCGTGAGCTCCTTCGAGCTCACCGTGGATTAGTCCTGTTCATCACGAACAGGGATACCACGTAAAATTCTCGCGTTGTGTTGCGTATTTGGTTTTCTACATGGTATCAGAGCCGAACCTCGATTCGTGCTAGGGTTTTGAATCAGCTTTCGTTCTGTCCGCGGGATATATTTGTCTCTCGCGCCGTCATGTGTGAAGGGGATGAATCCTCGATGTCCTCTACCCGAGACACCTCTTCTCCTGCCGATGTCATTGGCCCAACCTCTCCTCTCTTTCTCCATCCGTCGGACACTCCGAGTCAAGTCTTCGTCGCCGACCTGTTAACTGACGCCAACTATGGCGACTGGGCTGCTGAGATCTCAAATGCCTTGCTGGCCAAAAATAAGCTTGGGTTTGTATTGGGTACCGTCCCCAAGCCTGCTGCCCCGGGAGAGCCTCTCAATGCTTGGGTTCGCTGCAACGCCATGGTTGTCGGGTGGCTTCGTCAGTCTATGTCCCGTGAAATTCGCACAAGTCTTAGCTCTGGTTTCACGGCGAAACAAATTTGGGATGACCTGCGTGAGCGCTTCAGCACAGGCACCCTTCCCCGACGTTACAAGGTTCGTCGTCAGCTCGTCGCACTTCGCCAGGACCAAACCAGCGTCTCCACCTTCTACGCCAAACTCAAACGGCTTTGGGACGACTGGCTCACCCTCGACCCTCCAGCTAAGTGCACTTGTGGAAATTGCTCTTGTAATGTTGAACAGAGAACTCGTGAATCCCATGAGTCCATGAAGTTACTTGATTTTTTAGTTGGCCTGGATGATAGTTATGCTGCTGTCCGTACACACCTCTTGACCTTGAAGCCTGCCCCTAGTCTTAATGAAGCTTACCATGCTGTGGCTAATGACGAACATCAACGTACCCTCACCCATGATCAACAGCCACGCGTGGAGGCCGCCGCTTTTCAAGGTCAGGGGGAGCACCTTACACCGGACGACAGGACAGCTGATGGTCGTCCCAAGTGCAGTCACGGCGGCAAGATCGGTCATCTCAAGGCCACTTGTTACGATATTATCGGCTGGCCGCCCAAGTCTGGAGAAAAGCCCGAGCGCCCTCGTCGTCGAAATCAGTCTCGTTCGTCCCGTGGCAAACCTCAAGCGGCAGCAGTGGAGAGTGTCGATCTGAACATACCTGGCTTAAGTGCTGAGCAAGTTGCACAACTGAAGGCGTTTCTGTACTCGGATTGTGCGCCAACTGCTACTTCGTCCGCGTCGCAACCCAAAGCCAACATGTCAGGTATGCTCTCTTCTGATCTATCCAATGCATGGGTCATTGATTCGGGTTGCAATGAACATATTGCTAAGGATAAATCGTTGTTTCATGGTGAGTTGGATACCAACTCGGGTCTGCAGGTTCGGATTCCTAATGGGACGGGTATTCCCGTCCATGGCATCGGAAATTCTAAACTTGCTAATGGTCTTCCTCTTCAGCGTGTTTTACATGTGCCTGCATTCCAGTGCAATCTATTATCTGTCAGTCGTCTTACAGCAGATCATCAGGTTGCAGTCATTTTTCTCAGTAATTTCTGCGTACTACAGGACTTACGCTCCAGAGAGATGATTGGGATGGGTAAGCACGTGGATGGTCTCTACTACTTGCAAGTGTTCAATGGTCGTCATCCTGTTGCATTGACCGCTCAACAAGCACTACGAGACTCTCGGTTATGGCACTCTCGGCTCGGTCATCCATCGGCAGCCAAGTTTTCCATTTTGCAGTCTTTCATTTCGCATCCTTTGGTGACTAGTAAAGACCCGTGTTTGTCTTGTTTGCGGGCTAAACAAACTCGATTACCTTTTGTTTCTAGCTCTATCAAAACTACGTCATGTTTCGAGCTTATTCATATTGATATTTGGGGAGGTTATCATCAAGCCTCGTTTTCTGGTGCCCATTTTTTCCTCACTATTGTGGATGATTTTAGCCGAACAGTATGGGTTTTCCTGTTAAAGCATAAATCTGAGGTTGCTCGGTATCTACTTCTTTTCTTCAATCAAGTTCGCACGCAATATGAGGGACATATTAAGCGCATACAGAGTGATAATGGTCGAGAGTTTACCACTCCTGAATTGCGTGCTTATTATGAAAAGGAAGGAATTGTATTACAAACATCTTGTGTCGATACCCCTCAGCAAAATGGGGTCGTTGAACGCAAGCACCGTCACCTACTAGATACTGCTCGAGCACTCAGGTTTCATGCGGGTCTACCAATTCAGTTCTGGGGAGAGTGTGTTCTTACGGCAGCTTATCTCATCAATCGTATGCCCCTCACTTCCATCCAGAACCGCACACCCTACGAAGTTCTCCTCGGCCAATCGCCATCATACGATCATCTTCGTGTTTTTGGATGTTTGGTCTACGCTAAGAATACTCATGCGAATTTGTCCAAATTCGCGGCTCGAGGTAATCCGGGCATCTTTGTTGGCTATCCAGCGCACCAGAAAGGCTATCGTATTTTTGACATCGCCAGACGTACCATACATACTTCTCGTGATGTGTTTTTCTTGGAAGAAGTATTTCCCTTCCAAAAGCTTGGAACGCCAACTTCCTTGCCCTCTCAATTGTCATGGTTGGAACGAGATAATGATGATTCAGCGGATGCAGGTTTGTTTGATTTAGTCCAAGAAGTTGCTCAAGCTCGGGAGATGGATGCGGATGTTTCCACAAAGTTCCCTTCTCACCTAGAAGCTGGTTCGCATGATTCCGCCACTTCTAGGCCGAGAGATTCGTCCTTTACTCCTGCCCATGCTTCCCAACCCGTAGCTGACTCCTCTCCTATTATTCCTGATCCGGCAGCCTCACCCCCCAGCCCTGCCACCAGTCTCGACAAGTCAGGGGGTGATCGTCCTTCTCCCATCGTCGATGAGTCTCCATTATTTGCGTCCACTTCCTCTAGTCCTGGCAGTACTGGTGGTGATTTGCTTTCTTCCTCCCAGTCTTCACCGGTCCAGTCTTCCTTGCCGGAACCTGTCCCCCGTCACAGCACACGCGTCGTCCGACGCCCTGTGCGGCTCCAGGATTATGATGTCGAGTTTCCAGGTCAGCCTCCTCAGGCGCATCTTGCCTCCGTTTATCCTATGAGCAATTATGTTACTTATCAACGGTTGTCACCCGAGCATCGGGCTTTTGTTGCCACTGTCTCGGCCACATATGAACCCACATATTTTTGGCAAGCTGTTCGATTTGAGCATTGGCGCAAAGCCATGCAAGCTGAAATTGACGCCCTGCAGGCCAACGGTACATGGGTTCTCGAAGATGCTCCACCTGGTAAGCGCATTGTTGATTGCAAATGGGTTTATAAAATCAAGTTTAAACCCGATGGTTCCGTTGATCGTTACAAAGCTCGGTTGGTGGCCAAGGGTTTTACGCAGATTGAAGGCATCGATTATCATGATACCTTTGCTCCAGTGGCCAAACTTGTCACCGTTCGTTGTCTCATTGCAGTTGCGGCTAGTCAGAACTGGCATCTTCATCAACTTGACGTTAATAATGCCTTTTTACATGGCGACTTGCATGAGGAAGTTTACATGCGGATTCCTCAGGGATTCTCTCGTCCTGGTGACAGTCGTGTTTGTCGTCTACGTCGGTCCATCTATGGTCTACGCCAGGCATCTCGGAATTGGTACCAGAAGTTTTCTCAGGCCTTGCTCAGTTTTCAGTTTGTCCAAAGTCGAGCAGATCATTCTCTATTTATTCATCGTTCTGGTTCCAGTTTTGTAGCTGCTCTCATATACGTTGATGACGTTATCCTTGCGGGCAATGATGCGCCGTTCATTCAGCAAGTCAAAGACTTCCTTCATGCCCGCTTCAACATCAAGGATCTAGGGCCACTTAAGTACTTTTTAGGTATCGAGGTAGCTCGTTCTCAGAAAGGTGTGGTTCTTAATCAACGCAAGTATGTGCTTGACATACTTGCGGATTGTGGTCTGGAAGGCACTCGTCCCTGTGCCACTCCCATTGAACAGAGTCATCGACTAGGTCGTCTTACCTCACCTCCCGCGCCTGATCCCTCGAGCTACAGGCGTCTGGTGGGTCGTCTACTCTATCTCACTGTTACGAGGCCTGACATTCAGTATGCCGTCAACATCCTCAGTCAGGCAGTTCATGCTCCCACCCAGGCTCATGTTGTTGCTTCTGTTCGCGTGCTCCGTTATCTGAAGCAGTCCCCTGGCCGCGGTCTCTTCTTCCCGGCTGCCACTCCGTTGCATCTCGCTGCCTACTGTGATGCTGACTGGGCAGGTTGCCCCACCACTCGTCGTTCCACCACTGGTTACTTCA